CGCGTGCGCGCGGCGCTTGGCGGTGCAAGAGCGGGTGCTGAGCGCGTGCGTCGCGCTCGCCGACATCTCGTGATCGTCGTTCTCTTCCACTTCCCCGTCGCCTCCTCGTCGTCGTCGTCGTCGTCCTCCTCCTCCTCCGCCCTGGCCATATTCCCCCTTCCCGCTGCCCCTTTTCTCCATTCTCCGCCTGGGACGTGGAGCCGGCCAGGGGGCGAGGCGGCCAGCGACAAGGAAGGGGTCGGGAAATCCTTCGTCGCCGCGGTTGGACGCGCCCCGAATTGTTGTGGCTAACGGGGCAGCAACGGCCATCAGGTTGAAATAATCGGAGTTCGGAAAATTGTTCCAGACCAATGATTCTACGAAGTTCAAGTTCAAGGTCGGAAATAGTTCGGTTAAAGCTCGGCGGCGAGAAAACAGTTTGGAACATGTTCGGAAACAGTTCGAATACTTCCCGCGCCGACAGAAAAATTTGAAACATGCTCGGGCGCTAAATTGGCGCCTGAGTTCTATCTGTTGCGCGCAACGTTTCGCGACTGATTGTGCTCCATTCGGCTATGGAGTGCATGGTCGCAGTTCGGTCGCCTCCATGATCTTTGATTTCTAGTGCTGTCAGGATGCTGCGTGGGAGAGCACTGATCTCCGACGGCGCGCTCGAGCGTCGCGTGCAGATGCTGTTTTCCTTGGCGCAGAAATCGCCTCGTTATGGCATGCCCCATGCGCGGCTGAGACACGTCCCGCGTGTAATTAGTTGGTGGTCGCGTCGATGGTTGTCAGGGTGAAGAGCAAGGCTGTCATTTCTCCACCCTTCGCTTTGCCACTTGTCGCCCGGGTCGGTCTCAGGTCGCGATCGCGTTTCTAGCCCGTGGGATTCGCATAACTGCTCTGCTCAGATTCCCCCCCCGCTCGCGGTGGATGCACAGGTTGGCCGTTTGGGCCATCGGGCGTAGATGAACCCCTGATGTTAGAGGCGCCCCCGCGCCGCGCTTCGGCCTCTGCGGGGCAGGGCCCCGTCCCCAAGCTGATTCAAGAGGAATCCGCGATTCCTCCCTCGTGGCCCCCGTCGCCCCCCATCCTCAGATTCGCCCCCCATCGTCCTGCTAGTCCTCTGCCGCCGTGCCCCTTTCTCTGCTGCCCCCCCCCCGTTCCCCCTGCATTCTGTCAGGGCGACGCTCCCCTTCTTTCGCCCCCCCGTCCTCCTCGGCGGCCTTCCTGTGCGAGGCGTGGCGGGCGTGCCGGTGTCTACCGGCCGTCGGCCCACCCCGCCGCCGCCCTTTCGTCTGTGGACCAGAGCCACTTGGACAGACGATGCGCCCCAAGTTGCGCCAGCGGTGCCCGGGCTGTGGCCCGAAGGCCGCTCGCGCCCATGCCGGGGGCGCGCTCCGTGAGGTGCGCACTTCCGCTTTCGATGCGCGCCCAGCATTCGTGCGCTTCGCCCGGCCGCCGCGCGCGCCCCCAGTAGTTTTCTGCCCGGCCACCGCGCGAGGGGGCGTCGCGGCCGTTCTTCCTGCGGGCCCAGGCCCGTCGTTTTCGGTCCCAGGCCGTTTTCACGAAGGGGGGGGGTTCTGAAGGGAGGTCTGCCCACCGCCGAAGAGTCCAATCTACTGCGGCCGCCTTCCGTTTTCGTTTTTCCGTGGCTCGTGTTTTCCGAGTTCGTTTGTTGTTTCGCGTGTTTCTGTCGTTTGTTTTTGTCGCAGTGGTGTCCGCATTTTGCTTTTCACGTAGGCGAGGATAAAGGATGGGGGTAGCAACGGCGACGGCGACGACGACGACGACGAGGGGCATTGCGTGGCATGCCCCGGGGGGTGTTCCGCGACATGCTCCAGGGGGCACTCCGTGACTTGCCCGACGGGGCGATCCGTGATGCGCCCCCCAGGGCGCGACACTCTTGCGTGACAAGGGGGGGGGGTCGGAGGAGGAGGGCGAGGAGGAGGAGGAAGAAAATGAAAACGAAAAGGAAGAGGACAAATGATGAGGGCAACGAGGACGGCGACGACGATGACAACGACGACGATGAGAGGTATTCCGCCACATGCCCGAGGCGTGGTCCGTGACATGCCCCGTGATTTCTACATTTTGTTTTTTCTTCCAGGGGAAGACGATGGGGGAGGAAGGGGGAACGGAGATTCCGTGACATGTCTACCCTGGTTTTTTTTGTTCTTGGTTTTTTTCCCGCAAGAAGTTATTGTCTCAGTTTGTTGTTGGCGTCCGCCTCTCAATTTTATGATTTGTTATGCTGCTTTTCAAACTTGTCTCATATTTCGCTGTGGTGTTCGTTCTTTTCGCGCTTTTCGCATTTGCCGCACGTTTTTTACTTTTCGCGTTTTTTTGCACTTTTCGCGCTTTTCGCGCTTTTCTACTTTTAGCATGTTTCTCACTTATCGCATTTTTGCACGTTTCTATTTTTCGCACTTTTCTACTTTTCGCGGCGTTCTCCGCTTATTCAGACTTGGATCTAAGCAGCACGAGGAGGAGGAGGAGGAGGAAGAGGAGAAGAAGGAAAAGGAGGAGGAGGAGGAGGAGGAGGGGGAGGGGAAGGAGGAGGAGGAGGAGGAGGAGGAGGAAGAGTTG